ACCCCTTAGGTTAACTGTTTGCTTTTCAAAACAGAAGGTGCTCATCTACAAAAATAAAAAAAAGGGTAGGATTTTTTGTTTTGTTTTTGGTTTTTGTTTTTTCTTACAGTGCCTAAGACAGTGCATTTCCCAGAGATATATTTGTTCAATCAACTAAATATAAATATTAGAAAACTTATGCAGTAGCTTCCATCGACTCTGTAAGATATTGGGAGAGAAGAATCTGGTAGGAGGTGATCAGAGATCATGATCAAATGCCTTTGGCCAGGCAGAGGACTGCCATGGGGGTAGAGGCAGACAGTCGGGACGCCCAGGCTGTAACACAATCTGCCATCACTTATGACTCTGGCAAGCTGTCAAGGACCATTTTTTATTATTATTACTACTTTTTGTTGTTGTTTGTTCTTTTTCTTTGTTTTTTCTCTTTATTGTTAGTTTTTTCATTTGCTTTGTTTAGGTAAGGAGTCAAATCTACTAAATATTTATTTCTAGCCTGAAAGTTGGAGGAACAAGTTCAAGTCACACTATTTACACGTTTACTCTCCTGTCTGGAAAGGGTTTTGCCCCCCTTCTTTCTGGAAACTTCCACTTGTCTTTGGACTTTTGGTGGATGCAAACTAGGCAAGATAAACTCCGGAGGTTAACCATCTGTCACTCACACTTGCTGATTCTTTTCAGTGTTCGTATTTCTGAGGTGGTTTTCTTCATTTGAACAAATAGATTAGATCTCACGTCTTTTCTCACTAAAATTTCCACACACTATGCTGCTTGTCAGGAAAAATTAGCGAGGAATACAGAGTGCTAAATCAACCATCCTGACAGTAACAGGAAAAGCCAGCGTGGGGGCGGCTGCTCGTGGGACTCTGCAGGAGAGATGAGCAGTCCAGGCAGCATCAGGCCTGCCTTTGTTTTGCAAGAACACAGCAAAGGCCAAGACAAGCTTGATTGTTTTTGTATCCACTCCTCTTTTCTTTTCAAGATCTATTAATAATATTTTATAGAATCTGAGTTTCTTAGATTTTCACTTTTCTAAAGAAAAGAGAATAATTATCTTTTTCTATTTACAGAAGAAATTTATTTCTGTTGTAAAAGATCCAAACAATGCAGAAAAACAATAGAGAATGGAAGACTACTCATAATCCTGACTTATCTCTAATGGAGATAAGTGCTATTTATTGGAGATGTGCAGAGATTTTTAGGGCAACTAACAGATTAAAATTTAAAAATTATATTTCACCATCCTCATGTTTCATGTCTGCATTTGATCTGCTAGTCTTGTCCACACATATGCCTAATTTACATTGTCTGCTTTTTCCATTTAACATAGATCCTAAGTGTTCCTTAGTTCTATTTAGTCTTTATAATGTTAATGGTTGCTTTCTACACTAACAGATGAATTATCACACTTTTCTAAGTCATTCTTTTCCTGTTTAACCTTTTGTTATTTACAATTTTATGCTAATTCCTTGTTATTTCAACCTAAACTGGATTACATATA